AGCTTCTCCTTTGAGTGCCACATTGGGTAATGGGTATCCTTGGAGGAAAACCAAGAAGACAATAATTTCTTTTGGTTGGGCTCTGACAAGCCTTATTGATATAAATGTTTTAAAAAAAGAATCATTATAGTATTTTTAGTAATCAAAAACACACTGACATTAATGCCATCATTTGTTCTTTGACTCAGTAAATTGCAGTCTTTTTGCGTCAGCATCAGAATTAAAAGTGCTTACCGTAGTACACTTCAACCTCGCAGAGACTTAGGATCTTTGCACTTCCTGGTAGAAACACAGTGACGTAGCGTCCCTTCATGGAGTTACATGGAAAGTAAAACGCTTGTCCCTTGGGAATGTGAGAGATGATGTCACACCTGTGTATGAAACATTCAAATAGAAAAAGTATAAGAATGAAAAAAAGAATAGAATTCCTACTTATATGGGTATATATCACATTCTTTCACCTGATGCTTTCAGGGTCACTGTTTGTTGTAGAATTTCCGATCCAGATTTCAGCACCATCCAGCCCATTTTCCAAATCCTGTCTATTGGTTATCATCACAGTCCGAATTGTATACACATTTACGAGGTCTACTCTCCACCAGGGATCAGATTCTGCATTGGTAAGTGTGCAAGACCCACTTTGATAGTTTGTGTCTCTGTTTCCATCAACTGCCTTACCAGCAATACCCACAGTGCCACTGGTTGAAGATTGGACAGCTTTTTGTTTCAGTGCCAGGTTGTAAAGAAGTTGACCTAAATGATTACAAAATATGTAAGTATTAATAAAAACAGAGAGGGCCATATTTATATTTTCACTGGGATTGAGCAAAAATAATAACAATAAATAAATTAGAATCTTATGGATCTCAGCTGTTCCTGATAGAAACCCATGTTAAGTCTTTACTTTTGTTTTATTACGTAACTGTTCCACCACTGGTTCTGCTTGTTTTTTATCTTTATTTTTAAAATTTCTTTCTAACCGGCATGTGGTAGTTTGCACAAGTTTGCACTTAGTAAATGTCGAATTTGTTGATCGCAGAAGAAAAATTACCTGCCAGTGTTCCAGATGTTAATGTTAACATGATGGAAATGCCTGTTGACATATATTTACAAGATGAAAAAACAGAATTATGTGTGAATGATGTGTACATACATGCCATCATCTTCATTTTAACTTTTTTGTTTAAGAGTTTAAGTTTAAGATACTTTAACTCACCAATGAAGCTCCAACTATGAGTCCCACTCATGGCTTTAGAAAGTATCCAAATCAAATCTATAAGGGCATTAATTAAAACGCAGTAATTGCTGATACACCAACTGGCAGGTGGACTGGCTCTCTGTTGTTTTCTTCTAAGCACTACCCATCTTATACTATACTCTTCTATTGGTTTTGATATCCAAGAATATGCAAATGTTTAGTCAGTGATGTTTGCATGAATCATAACACACCCAAACAGAAATCTTCTTCGGACCAAAACTTTCACCTGCATGTTTCTGTCACACAGTGGGAATTTGTATTTATCTTGTATATTGTTTTTATTCTGATTTTGTCGTTTGTCATTTTATTTGCATGGTTTTAATCTGTTTCTATTGCATGGTTTTTAGTGTTTTATGTGACATAGTTTTTAATCTACTGTGGATTACACATAATCTACTGTGGACTACACATGGGACAAATTAGCTGATAGGGACCACCTGCTGAGGCATGGGTGTATCCAGAGGTGGCCTATCAGCTGTGTAAAGACCTTTTAAAAGCAAGCTAGCTGAGCACTGAAGGAAAGAGGCCCCAGACTGGAAGGTTAATGCTAGATGGCCAGCGTGACACGTCGACCCAGTCCTGACTTCATGGAACGGCAACAGTAGGAGACAACGCGTGTGATTGGCAGCAGGGCAGAGATTTACCAAGGAATTCCTGGCCTGCTGATGGACCCATAATGAACATGTGGCATAATTATAGC